TAATTTTAATAATTTTTTATTTCTACTATTTATTAATTTTTTTTATTTTTTATATTTTATAATATTATTGAAATCTTATAATTTTAATCTCTATAATTTTATCTTACTTTTTATTTTATAAGTATAATTTGAATTATTCATTTTATAATTAAATTAATTTTTTTTAAAATTTTTTATGAGTTTACACTGATTTTCTTTCCTAAATCCTAATTATTCCACCTCAAAAACATTTGTGCGAATTGTGCACATCGTACATATGCACACGTTTCTAAAACAATATTTTTGCTGTTATAATTGTACCCTTTTTTCTTAATGTTTTGTTTATGAGAAATCAAGATGGATGCAAATTTAAATTTTAACATTAAATGTTATATTTTCTAATAAAATACTTTCATTCTTTTTTAATTTCATAATATTGTATTAAAGGACAATGATTAGCAATAGAAAAACTAAGAACTTATAAACTACAAATTACTTCAATTAGCTTATGAGAATATGTTATAAACTTTTAAAATAAATTAACATATCAAATAAGTTCATTTTTATCAAATAAACTAATAAAAAAACATATAATCTCTCCAGAACAAACTCTTTATTCTTTATCCCTCACCCTTTGATTATAACCTTCACTAATAGCATTGGAATTCTTCTAAGTGACACCCCCATCCCCATCAAGCACAAAAAATCATCATTAAAAAAAAACAACTTATTCTTCTAAGACTGCGAGCCACCAGGTACTTGATCCCATCCTATTTAGCTTAAGAAGAAAAAGAAACAAAAGATCCAAAGTAAAAGGGATAACCGAAACTTTTTTCTTCAGTGTTAAACCGAAATTATAGCAACACAATTATAATTTGTTTCCTGGCAAGTCAATTATATCGCATGAAATGTAACATAAAACTTGAAGCCATCTGGGTTTTTTTTTTTTTTGACGCAGAGCCAATTATTTTCCACAATTAAGAGAAAAATTACAGGTCAAAAGAAAATTTGAATTCATAAGCCGTATATAAAGAATTTGAACAGGGTAAAACGTATCCATTTTTATTGACATTTATCCCATTAGATAAATGAGTTTATTTTCTTCTAAAGTCAGAACACCGGTGATAATATAAGTAAAAGAAGAAAAAAAAGAGATATGAACATTCAAGAATTTGATCAGAACGTACAAAACCCCAGAGCTATGATAAATGATAAAAAGATTGTAATCAGAAGAGGAGAGCATGAAGATTATAAAGATAGCTGTTTGTGTATAATAAAGCTCTCTAACTCACTACAAACTTATTCAACTTCATTTTCTTATTTATAAGAATTAACGGAATAATCATTTTTTTCCTTTATATAAAATTTAATTCATATTATCTTATATATTAATTATTTTTAGAATAAAATATCCATAATTAAATTATATTCTCTTAATTTAAAAAAAATATATTAATTATAAACTCTTTAAAAAAGTGTGCACTCTAATTAATTAAAAGAAAGAAAAGTAATAATTAAAAAAGAGAAATAGTATAGAACATGTCTTTAATGTTAGAAAATATATGTATATTAATTAGGAAAGAGAAGTAATATAAATGTAATTTAAAATTAAAAAAAAAAAATATATATATATATATATATAGCAAAAAAAAAT